ACACACACACACACACACACACACACAGATCACTGATACACACACACAGACATCACTGATACACACACACACACAGACATCACTGATGCACACGCACACACACACACACATCACTGATACACTCACTCGCACAGACACACACACACACATCACTTATATACACACACACACACACACACATCACTGATACACACACTCTGTCACAGGCTCTGAGTGAATGTTTTTAGGGTCACAGAGGTCAGTTCATATGTTTTCTCTGTCAGTCATTTTCACTCATACTGAAGCGTTTGCATGTATAAGACAGCTATGAATTATATTTACAGTATTTATAATTATAGAAATGATCTTTTGGTCTCAACATTGATTTGTATGCACACAGCTGTGTAGTTATTGTGCTGTTCTCGGAATCAGTTTTTATAGCGATGGGTTTCTGTTACACATGCAGTGGAGTGCAGCTGATCCTCCAGCGTCTCTTTAGTTTGTGATTCTCCGGCGACGAGTAGCACAGCGTGTCAGTAAATGAGTGAATGTTAAAACAGAAGTAGCTAGTCAAAGTTACACTGAATGAAATGGTTTCCTGTAAGGTGTGTGTGTGTGTGTTTCACAGGAAGAGACACAAACGTGTTAGTCTACATCAAGAGAAGACTCGCCATGTGCTCCAGAAAGCTCGGCCGCACACGAGAAGCTGTCAAGATGATGCGAGATGTGAGTGACCTCTGACTCCTGACACACAGAAGAAACAAAGCCTCATTTTATTAGTAATGCAATCAGCAAACTGCTCGCAGTATATACTCATAGATACTGAAGCATGAGCGACTGTGCTGTTATTCTGCTGATCAGGCCGTTGAATTATTGAAAATTGTGCACAGCTGAGGTGATGATGCAGTTATGATTGAAGGCATGTGCATTATCTTTCAGTAATTCAATGACCTGACATCAATGAAACCACACATTTTGTATGTGTAAAACGCTGTTATGTGTAGATCATCTGTCTTACACACCTTGCTAATGAGCAGAAGTTTCCAGAGCTGGAGAATGTGAGCTGTTGTTGTGTTTCCTGCAGTTAATGAAGGAGTTTCCTCTGCTCAGCATGTTCAACATCCACGAGAACCTGCTGGAGTCTCTTCTGGAGCTGCAGAACTACGCTGATGTCCAGGCCGTGCTGGCCAAGTATGACGGTACGAGCGCCGCAGATCTATCCACACACACACACACACACACACACAGAGACACACACACACACACACACACAGAGACACTCACACACACACACACACAGAGACACTCACACACACACACACACAGAGACACTCACACACACACACACACAGAGACACTCACACACACACACACACAGAGACACTCACACACACACACACACAGAGACACTCACACACACACACACACAGAGACACTCACACACACACACACACAGAGACACTCACACACACACACACACAGAGACACTCACACACACACACACACAGAGACACTCACACACACACACACACAGAGACACTCACACACACACACACACAGAGACACTCACACACACACACACACAGAGACACTCACACACACACACACACAGAGACACTCACACACACACACACACAGAGACACTCACACACACACACACACAGAGACACTCACACACACACACACACAGAGACACTCACACACACACACACACAGAGACACTCACACACACACACACACAGAGACACTCACACACACACACACACAGAGACACTCACACACACACACACACAGAGACACTCACACACACACACACACAGAGACACTCACACACACACACACACACACACTCACACACACACTCACACACACTCACTCACACACACACACACACACACCAAGGTTATTTTCGTAAACTAAAACTAAGACAAAAACAATTGATCAAAAAACATGTTCGTAAACTGAAATAAAATAAAAATATCAAAATAAATGAAAAACTAAAACGAAACTAAACTAACAACAGTTATTGAAAACTAACTGAAATAAAATCTAATTATATATGCTACAGAATGTCCCTGAGCTGTCGTTCTCTTCATCTGCAGCGCGGATGGCTTTAATGCGCAACGCTGCAAATCCAATGTTGAGACTTCGTAATTATTATTGAATTTCATTAGTCACAGTTATAATATGAGCGTTTGTTCTCGGGAAAGTGAGCAAGACACGACAGTTACAGTATCATGATTATGATTAAATACGATAAAGTCGTCTAATATAAAACACTGAAACGCCACAGCTCTCGTTTGAGTGGAAGAACCGTCTCTAAAGGGTTTACAGCACTTGTGTTCCTATCATCAGACACCTTTGCTGTAAAATACAGTTCTCTCCTGTATATCTCTATATCTCCTGTGTGAGTCGTGACGGGAAACGGTTTGTTCTCGTCCACAGACATCAGTTTGCCAAAGTCTGCAACCATCTGCTACACAGCGGCGCTGCTGAAGGCCAGAGCCGTGTCTGACAAGTGAGTCTCCATCAACACATTCACATTATTAATAAATAACTGTTAGTACGTCAACTTATTCTACTAACCCTAACCTAAGAGTCTACTAAAACTCTAATGAGAGGTAGTTGACATGTAGTTGCAAAGTCACGTATGGTGTTAGCAGAATGACTACAGTGGACTATTAAAATAAAATGTTTAAATAAATCAAGTTATGACAGCCACTGTCTAAATGAATTTATTTCAACAACAAATAGAGATTTTTTTAGAGAATAGAGAAACTGCAATTTACGTGTTTGCATTTAATTTTTTTTTTTAAGTTGAATGTTGATTATTATATTTAAAAATAAATAGTAATTAAATGTAAGTTTGGGCTGTTGTTAATTGTAATCTTATAGTAATGTAAAAGGGCTCCCTATAGTTAGAGCACAAGCTGAGGTAGATTTTTATCCCTAAGAAAATTTTAGGTATAATTGAATTTATTTCAAGAACGAGCGATTTGTTCAGTAAACCATTGTTTAATAAAAAAGCAATTTTATGTGTAGTTTCCCCCTGCTGTACTGAAACCACACCGAGCCGTCATGTTTGAGTGCTGTTCCAGCTCTAATCAGTGCTGCACTGACCTCTCACGTCTCTTCTGCAGGTTTTCTCCAGAGGCGGCGTCACGCAGAGGTTTGAGCACAGCAGAAATGAACGCAGTAGAAGCCATACACAGAGCGGTGGAGTTCAACCCACACGTACCGAAAGTGAGCATCTTCATCTTCATCATCCTCCTCATCCTCCTCAGCCGTAACCTGCCTCTCGTTCTCTCCGCAGTACCTCTTAGAGATGAAGAGTTTGATTCTGCCTCCGGAGCACATCCTGAAGCGCGGCGACAGCGAAGCCATCGCCTACACCTTCTTCCACCTGCAGCACTGGAAGCGTGTGGAGGGCGCGCTCAACCTGCTCCACTGCACCTGGGAGGGGAGTGAGTGAGAGTCCAGCAGCTTTAACACGACTCTGAGAGACATCAGAGATGCTTGACTTCTGTCTGATTGAGCATTCTGACATGCCAAGGCAATGCACAGTAATGCACATTTTGTCAATACTGTGTTATGACCAGATGTGACCCTGGAGCACAAAACTAGTGTCTTGAAAAGTGAAGCCAGATGATGCATACATCTCAATTTCAAAAAATTAAGACACTTAAGACTGGTTTTGTGCGCCAGGGTCACACATTATGATTTGTCTTTTGGCTCCACTCAGATCACATCCAGAGAACATCAGGCCGGTTTATTAGTGTAGCTCTTCACACGTTTTCAAAGCAGCTTTACAGATAGTCGTGATGTTATAGTGTCCAGTGTCCACACTGATCTCTTCAGAGCTGGATAATAGTATAGTTTGAATATGGAGATCATATAAACGATCCGGCCGTTGAGATGTGCTGTATGGCATGCTGTGTGACTCACTTTATGTGAGTGTACGGTATGTATGTGGATTAAATAGGATATATTTGTGGTAGTTACAAGTTGGGGTTATTAATTCATTATGCAATGAATGGAAATCTGTAAGGTTTGTTTATAACAATTTGGTGTAGTCAAGTCACCTTTATATCTGTAGCGCTTTATACGATACAGAACGTTTCTAAGCAGCTTCACAGTGATACAAAGGAAAATAACTGTTAATGTTGTGAAATAAACTCAATTTCAGCTCTACAGAGGAGAGTAGAGTAGATGCTATTACTGAACGTTACCTGACTTTAAGGACACAGCTAATCAAGCCGAAGCCAAACTCCATTAGGTGACAGAAATGTAAGAAGAAAACTTTTTTTTTTGGCCATAGTTGCAGTATCTGCCAAATCCACACTAAAACCCTGTTCCTTTGTGTTAGTGTAATTACTGTGCGTCGCCTTCGCTATGGTAGTCATGAATAAATGCCTTTTATTTCTTATGACTTTTACGAAGCAAACATTTTTTTTTTTCCAATATAAAAGTTGTCAAAATGTTGAAGTGAAAATCAGAAAAACTCACTGACTCTCTGTTGCTGCGAAGCATAGAAATGTGTTTTTCAGCTCATTCTTTGTGTTTGTGCTGACTGTTGATGGCCTGATGTTTCAGCTTTCAGAATGATTCCATATCCTCTGGAGAAAGGCCACCTCTTCTATCCGTATCCCGTCTGTACAGAGACGGCGGACAGAGAACTGCTACCAAGTAAGAGATTTTCCTGCATCTCACCTGTAGATGAAGGCTTCTGTCGTCTGCAGCATCCAGATCCTCTCTGAACTTATCAGTGTAGTATATTAGTATATTAGGCCTTTTAGTACAATTTTACAAATGTTCAGCTGCTGCTTCTCGTGTCAGATCTGGACTGATTTTTATCAAGTAAGCGTCAGAATAACTGCAGTA